ATTCCTCATGTTAATATAACTAATATCATATTTATTAATATAATCATTTAATAAGTAATATTATAGATATATAATTATAAGGATATAATATATATAATTATATTTATAGTTATATAATTATTTATTATTATAATAAAATCATAATATATAACATAAAATCATACATAATATAATAAAATAATGATGTTGTGATTATTTTATATTATAATATTACAACTATACTATATTATATTATTAGACATGTAGTATAATTATAAAATGTAATAATATAATATAACATATTATAATTATAATATATAATATAGTATATTATCATTTCTAATTATATTATATTATCTATTATCTATTATAATATAAATTTATATTGTAATTATATAAATACTTAATTATAATATTATAAAATATAGTATATATTATAATTATAATATTATATAGTTAAAATAATAAAATTTTAATTTTTATTATAACTATCATATGAAAACATCACATTTATATCCTATAAAATAATATAGCATAATATAATATAATATAATATAATATTACAATATCACAACTATATTATATTATATTATATTATAATGATAAATATAATGATAATAATTATTATTAATTACAATAGGACGATTATACCGTATATTATATTAATGATAAATATAATTAGAATGTATAATACATAATATAAGATATTATTATAATATTAAATATGATATAATATACGTATATAATATATTATATTATATTATATGTTATAAGATATAATTACATTATATAAATTAGTATAATATAATATTAATTATATTATAAATATTAATATAATAATTATAATATTCAAGGGTAATGATGGAAAAGAAAATTAAAAGAGCTTAGAATGGACATTCCTCTCATATGAGGAAGGAATGATAATTCACCAATTTGATGGAAAAATCATTCCATTTTGAATGGCCATTCATTTTCTTAAAACTAACCAAACATGAGAATGAACCTTGATTACTTTCCATTCTCCCAACTAAACACACACTGAAAAGTGTAAAGTTTTAATGAATGATTGGTTTATGGGTTCAGAACCATGATTCATAATTATTTTTTATTTACGTGTGTTTTTTATGAGAAAAAATACTGTAACGAGTCACGAACTATGATCCGAACTATAACACGAATCTTTGTTCCAAACACAATATTAGAGTGTGTAAGCGTGCAAGTGTGCAAGTGGAAACAACGCATTAGACGGTACAAAAGTTTGTGGTTGGTGTAAAGATAAGATTAGTGTCGTGGTGTTTAAAAAAAAAAAGACAAAAAAAAGAGAGTTAAAGTGTGAAAATGTGTTGTCTGTAGAATATAAACTAGCATGCAACTGTAGTGTGGGAACTTTGTAAAGTGAGCAAAAAAAAAAAAAAAAAAAAAAAGAAAAAAAAAAGGTCTCTATAAAAAAAAAAAAAAAAAAAAAAAAAAAAAAAAAAAAAAAAAAGTCATATTGTATCCTTTTCTTCCAAAGATCGTCCAAGTTGTGTGATAAGAAAAAAAATAAAAAAAGGAGACAAAAGAAGATGTCAGACGAAGAAACAAAGACAGAGAGATTTGCAACAAAGGAATCCATGGAAGCAGTTGACAGAAGACTACAGAATTTGGAGGCCATGCTTAGAGATTTAAGATGAAGTCTACAAACTAGCTGCTCGATCGAGTAGACATTCGTGAGTCTGAAAATCAGAAAGTCTCAAGATTCATTGATGGACGTCACCCCAACATATAAGATGAAGTCTACAAACAACCACACAGCACATTGTCAAGTGCTATTCAACTTGCCTTGAGGATTGAGGCACAACTCAACAGAAGAAGGTCCCGCAATCCGTCTTCCTTGCAAACTTCTACTCCACCACAAAGAGGAGAAGTAAATAAAGGAAAAGCTACAGCACAACGTCATGAAGCACCCAAGACGAATCAACCGATCGATCGTACGACAGCAAAGGGAACAAGCTAACAATCAGACTAGCTATGAAAATGAAGCAATAATATATGAAAATGAAAATGAAGAGTTTACCTATGAAATTGAAGGTACTTCCTTGGTGATCAGGAGACTAATGTATACCCAAAATAAAGAAGAAGACATTCAGCGACACAACATCTTCAAAACCAGGTGCACAGTGATCATTCAACAGGTTTGTGACCTTATCATCAACAGCGAAAGCAGCGAGAACATAGTGTCCAAAACCATGGTGGACAAACTTCAGTTATCGACTCAACCACATCCATCTCCATATCGGATTGGCTGGATTAAAGACGTGGGCGAAACAAAGGTAACTGAGCATTGTCGCATTCCTTTCTCCATCGGCAAGTACAAGGACGGAGTAATGTGCGATGTTGTTGATCTTGTCACATGTTACTTCGTCGTTCATGTCAATTCGACTTACATACCACCCATAATGGCCGTAGTAACACATACACATTCTACAAAAACAACATGAAGATCATACTCACCCCAATGAAGCAACCAAACTGTCCGGCACACACGGTAACTAGTTTAGCTTTGCATTCCTATTATAAATAGGTGATGTATTAAGGAATCAATCAATCGATGAATTATACTTTTAAAACCAAAAATACTTGTGTAAAAATTCTCTCTGAGAATTGCCTATCTATTCTCCTCTCAAATCCTTTGAGACCTAAGTTAGGACGCACCTAACAACCCATTGTGTCACGTTCGGTCATTAGTATGAGCATGTGCATAATATGGGCAAGCCTTTGCGAAAAAGTTAGAATCATGTATTTACTTCAGCTACATTGAATCGTCGTGGTTTTTTCTTTTTCTTTTTTTTTTCTTTTAAGAATCATGGTAAGGTATGATAAAAAAATATCTTTTTTTCTAGTCGTAGTTGTAAATAATCAGATCGCATAAGAATTATAATAGATTAAGAAAAATATGACCTAAAATTTAATAAGACAATCGTCTGTAACAATGTCTTTTCAATAAGATATATTTTCATGTCATATCGTAAAGTTTTATTTTTCTTCATTATTATTAGAGGAAATACCCTAAATATTTCTTGTGTTCCTTCAAAATATTGGCATGTCATTCTTATTATACAAGTGTTTAAAGTATCTTTTTCTTTTTCTTTTTTTTTCCACAGCGGGAAAGGAGGGCTGCCCATTTCCTGAAGTGAGCTATTAACTATTAGGAAGAAAGAGGGAAATAAGCAAAGACTTGAGATGAATTAAAATTAATAGGTTAATAGTTTACATAAGTTAATAAATAGGCTCAATTACTGTTTTCATCCATAACTTGTCTGGTTATGAACCATAATTTGACAAGTTATTCCCAATTTTTATCCATAACTTGTCTGGCTATGAACCATAACTTGACAAGTTTATCCATAACTTATCTGATTATGAACTATAACTTGACAAGTTATGGCCTATTAATTTCTATAACTAAAAGTTAGCCTATATATTTTCTTAAGTTTTTCATATTAGCCTATTTTCTACTATTTTTCTTAACTATTATAGTCTCTCTCTCCTGATGACAACCCAACCCGACCTAGGGTGGGCCTAAAGAAAACCCTCCTCAAAGAAAATTATTGAACTTATCTTCAAAAATATATTAGTTTAAATTTTCACTTTTTATTTTTAATTAATATTATTTTATAGATATAATTATTTAACTAAAAAAAGTATTAATTAATAGTAAAAAATTAAAATTAAAATTCATACACTTTTAAAAAATATTTATCAAAATTTCTCAAAACTAAGCTCTCCCAAGCTCCATCTCTCATCTGCCCGGTTTCTTTTAATATTTCAAATATTTTAAATAGTGAGTACTATTTAACTTAATATTTGGACTAATTACGTACTGAAGGTAATCGTAGTATTTTCAAAGTTAGTCGATAAAAGTCTTCCTTTTAAATTAAGTATATGAGTACTTTTAATTAATAATATTTATACGGAAAAAAGTTAAGGTGCTAAATAATTTGAAATACTAGCGTTGTGTTTTCTTTTTTTTTTTTTTAAGAGATAAACATTTTATTTTACAGAAATTACAATACGTAATATTTGTTTAAAATTTGTTGGAAGTAAATAGCATCTTTTAAAATGTTGTGAATTAAACAACATATTTATTGGTAATAATTGTTACCTAAATAAGATATTTGATCTTAATAAGTAAATTATTTATCGGAGAAAATAATATACTAACAAATAAAATACTATTTACTTCAAACATTTAAACCATATAAGTTACTTCAAACAAGTTTTAAATAAATGTCGGTTGTCTCTTTCTCCCTTTATCAAAAGAAGGGATGTTATTATCAAAAAAAAAAAAAAAAAAAAAAAAAAAAAAAAAAAAAAAAATTTTTATTTCTTTAAAAAAAAAAAAAAAAAAAAAAAGTTTTTTTCCTTAAAAAAAAAAAAAAAAAAAAAAAAAAACGGTCGATATTTCTTCCCCTATTAATAAAATTATCTTAACTATATGAGTGCCTAAACCAATACTTTATAAAAGATAAGGATTTATTCAGCAAAAAATAAAAAAAAAATAAAAAACTAGAAAAAAAAAAAAAGAGGAAACGAGGATGAGTCACTAAACTTGAAAAAATAAAAACGTTTTTAAAACAGCATTTGACACAATAAAGATAAAAAAATAAAAATGAAAATGATTTTTTAATTTAGTGTAAAATAAGAGAAAAATAAAAAAATAATTTTTTTAGTCATTTTTTATTTTTTGTTTTTGTTTTATCCTCTCTCTCGAGCAGAAATAAAGAGAGACATTAATAAAAAAATTTAGATTGAAAATAATCTTTTGATAAAATTATCAAATATAAATTTTAAAATAAATTTATATCTAAGATTAAAAACGTTTTTATTTTTATTTTCATACAAAAAAAAAAATAAAACCCACAATGAACTCCGAGTCAACCCGCTGTCCAAGTCACCGAGTTGAATCTAACAATCATAACAGAAAAATCTCACTCGAAATGCGAGGGAAACCAACAAGAGCTTATCTTCAACCAAAACTCTTGTTATCTCTCTTAAACGTCAATGGCATCCTCTGAGTCCAAGCCCTGTTGGAAAACGAAAACAGAAGACAAAAACCCAACACAACAAGAGAAGGAAATCAGAAAACAAGGCCTGAAGAAACAGATTCTCAGAAACGGAAGTTCATGGCAAACTCCGTCTCGCGGAGACGAGGTCCAAGGTACGTACTACTTTAAACTCATTTACATTCCCCTTTTTTTTTTTTTTTTTTTTTTTTTTTTTTTTTTTCCCTAACACAACAAGAGAAGGAAATCAGAAAACAAGGCCTGAAGAAACAGATTCTCAGAAACGGAAGTTCATGGCAAACTCCGTCTCGCGGAGACGAGGTCCAAGGTACGTACTACTTTAAACTCATTTACATTCCCCTTTTTTTTTTTTTTTTTTTCTTTGCTTTGCTTTCCCTAGAAATTAAGAAAGTGAAAGATTTTATACAAGTTCTAATGGGATATTTTTTCTTTTTTTAATTTTTCAGTACATTTCAGCGGGCGGATAAAAGGAGGGGCATGTCTTGATCAGAGTCGTGACATTGGAACTCCCTTTAAGTTCAAATTGGGCCAATGTAAGCACTACCATTCATGCATTTTCAATTTTGGGCAATGCTTAATAATGGTTTTGACTAACGATTTCTATTTGTTTTATTTTTTTTTTTGTCAGGTGAAGTAATCAAGGGACTGGATGAAGGGGTTGCCACAATGAAGAAGGGTGAGAGAGCAATCTTCACAATACCGCCGAATTTGGCATACGGAGAAGTCGGCAATCCACCGTTGATCCCACCCAATTCGACTCTCGTTTATGACATTGAGATGATATCTTGGAGGACCATCCGAGATATAACTGGTGATGGAGGAATACTGAAGAAGATAATAAAGGAAGGTGAAGGTTGGGCCACTCCAAGAGATGGTGATGAAGTTTTAGGTAATGCATATAGGTGGTTATCACTCTTATGAATAATATGATAGTTTGAGTACCTAGTTTAGATTGAATTTAGAAAGAAGAAAAAAAAAGTTGAAGTTTTTCGATCGATGAATGAAATTGGTCGAAGACAGGGCAGTTTAAAAATGTATCATAATTCAGAAAAATTTACGGGTAGCATCAAATAGGTTACTTGCTAAAGTTATTGCAAGATAAACACACATAAAAATATCTTCCGTTCTATTTCCTTTTTCTAGTGAAGTACAAGAGCAGCCTTGAGAATGGAATGCTCGTCTCCGAATCCGACAATACTGAGTTCTATATAAGTGATGGTGAGTTAAAATTTCTTCGGAACAACTCTTCTCTTCGATCATGGCAAGTAACTTTACCGGGAAGTATATTAAGTTTTGCTTTGATATATATATATATATATATATTTTCCTAAGACAGATTATATATGCCCTGCCATAAGCAGAACAGTCAAGACTATGAGAAGAGGCGAGAAAGCTGAACTAGCAGTGAAGTCCTCCTGTAAGTTAGTTGTGCTACTTGTTCCCTTCAGATCTGTAAGAATATTTCTTATGAATTCCAATTCACGACTTTTCTTTCACTTTCCCACCTGCTTTTAATTGCTTGGAAAAATGCTTGGGGGAATGAGTGATATCTAACGCCACAAATAATAGAAGGTAAGCCTGAGCTGTGGGGCCCGTGTTGTGAGACCCATCTTCTATTAGTGCGTGGCGGTGCCTCATGCATAGCATTGTTATTTTTCTTGTCTACTAAGTTCCATCACATCAATTACTTTCTAGATAGCTTCAAAGAAGTTGTGAATGGAACTGCTACGATGGGTGTTATTGCTCCACTTGCATCTAATTTAACCATCGAAATTGAACTCATATCATGGAAAAGTGTCGTCGATGTCACCGGAGATAAGAAGGTGGTCAAAAAGATTATAAAACCTGGCGAGGGCTTTGATCATCCTAATGAAGGTGCCATAGTGAAAGGTAAAGCTTCTCATGAGTATGATATATATACATTCTATTGAAAGATCCTAAGGGAAATCCTACTTCTTCTTGTCCTGCTTTCAGTGATATATACTGGCACGCTTGAAGATGGATCGGAATTTGAGAGCAAGGGATCTGAGGAGGAACCTTATGAATTTGTATGTCTAGAAGGTACTTGGCATGTACTGTTTCTTCTGGAATAACCAACTTTTTTGGTACTTAAAATGTGGTGAAAATTTTTACATAAAAAAAGGGTGAATTTTTATCCTATCCTTTTCAGAACAAGTAAATGAGGGTCTAGATAGAGCTATCATGACTATGAAGAAAGGAGAACAAGCACTGGTGACTGTGGGAGCAGAGTTTCTCCCAAGCTTTGATGCTTCAAGAATGGTTGCTACGGGTTCTTTGGTGTATTATCGAGTACAGCTGATTGAATTCACTAAGGTTTGGTAACTTAGTTGTAATTAAGATTCCAGTGTTTCAAGCATTATTTTCTTATTTTAGTTCAAGTGTAGTACTAACAAAGCTAAATGGCAAGATGGGTTAAATTGAGCTTCTAATCATTTGAATGTTCCTGTCCTGTGTATAGGAGAAACCTTTTTGGAAGATGGACACAAGTGAGAAATTGGAATTTTGTGAGAGAAAGAAGCATGATGGAAATCTTCTGTTTAAGGCCGGGAAATTTTGGTGTGCTTCCAAGAAATATGAAAAGGAAAATTACCTAATTCTGCAGCTAAAATTTTACATACAGGAATTAATTGCACTGTTTACTAAAAGCATAGATCATATTCTTTTGTGTGAATGCTTCTCAATTACCTTCTGCAGGGTGCAAAATACATCGAATTCGACCATTCCTTCACCGATGATGAGAAGTATCAAGCACAGACCTTGTGGCTATCATGCCAGCTAAACAATGCAGCTTGTAAACTTAAAATGGATGAGTTTCTTCAAGCTTCAAAACTCTGTACAAAGGTAGGTCTCAATGAAAAATTTGAAGAATTGGAAAACGAACCTAATCTCTCAATTATGAATCCAAAAACACAACTTTTCTGCAGTTTTTTTTCCGGTCAAAAGCCAAAATGTATCTCTAGACTACAACCTTCCCATCCCAAATTCCCTTCCTTTCCTTTGGTTGTTATCAATACCTTACCTTAACAAAAGGGAACCAAAATCATGATAACTGCTGTAACCGATGTCCTGGACACCGATACTCACAGACATAGATACAGATAGTGAAAAAGAAGATGAAGAAACACAGAGGATTTCTGCCGCGTAACTTGATTCAAGAACATGAACAAGAACAAGCTCATATTCCTTGTCGCTATTTCCTGTACGGACACTATGTTCATTAGTCCAGCAAATCCATAAATCAATCATTAGCTTCTTTTCCTTCTCTTGTTTCTTAAAAGTCATTTTTGCTTTCTTAAATGATGGCATTACATCTTTTGATGCTTGACATGGTGTATATCAATGCAATGATCACCAGTTATCTCATCAATGAAATTTATTGAACTGTGCAACTCTTAGAATATGACAGGGGACATTAAACTTGGACATTAACATATAATATAGATATAACTTTCTATTTTTGACAGGTCTTAGAAGTTGATCCATTCAATATCAAAGCTCTTTACAGAAGATCTCAAGCATACCTTAGAATTTCAGAGTTAGAGAAAGCTGAGGAAGATATCAGGAGAGCACTAAGGATTGATCCAAACAATAGGTAAAGAACGGACGCTTTTGAATAGTTCTGTTTTTTTAACTGCCAATTGTCTCAAACTTTCCTACTGTTTTTATTGTTCTGAATTTTCAGAGATGTGAAGTTGGTGCACAAAGAGCTAAAGGATAAGCAAATGGAATATGTTAAATATCAATCTGAGATTTTCAGTTCCATGTTAGCAAAGATGGCTAACTAGGAAATCAGTAGAGAAGTTTCTCTAACCTTTACAGCCGATAAAAGGTCAAACGACATGAGATAAGGTGGGGTGGGACTTGAGTTTGAGAGAGTACACACAGAATTTTACATTGTATTTATTGAGGGGGGGGAAAAAGAAAGGAGTCATGTGCTTGCTGTGTAGCCAAAAGATCTTGCAATTACTTTATCCTAGTCTTCACTTGTTATTCTTGATCTTTAGAAATCTAATATTTTTTATTTGATATCACATTTTCTATAGATGGAAAACATCATGTTTATGTACGTGACCCACTTGGAAGGACAAAAATGACAAATTAACTCGCTCAAAAAAAAATTTAAAACATTTCTTTTTGTGAGCATCAAAATCCCAAAAAAAAAAAAGAAAAGAAAAGGGAAAAAAAACCTTAGATTAAAGCTGTTATTTGATCTGACATTTGGTATTTTAAGCATTTTCGTTATTTTTTAATATTAGTTTTTATAGATGTTTAAGAGTTATTTTTACAACTGTGCTTTAAAAGTAGTCACGTCAGCACTGGACACATAATATTTTCCATCCAAAATTGAAAGAAACTAACAGTTATAGGATTGTTATTGTCACTAAAATTTCATTTAGGAAGATTTGTTAATCCCCCCACAAAATTAGATTCGATGGCAATTGTCACAAAATTAAAATTTGAGAGATTGACATATATAAATAATAACTCATCTTTCTCTCTAAATAATAACTCATCTTTCTCTCTAATTACTTTGGGTCAAAGGCCAATAAATAGTAGTGGATGGCCAGGAACAGCCAGTAGCCACCTAGAGATGAGAACCGAGAATAAAGGCTGACGGATACAAAGGATAAGAGAGCCAGGAAGGTTGGTTGGTGTTAATCATGAGACTGATTAGGCTAGCCAAGATGCGCATTGATACTCCTTTCAAGCCTTGGGAAGTAGAAAGTTAGCTTTCCAAAAAAAAAACGCCTTTTTCTTTGTGGAAAAAATTCTGTCATTAAATAAAAAAATAAAAAAAATAGACAGATATTTGTCGATAATATAGTTTAAAACTCACAGATCACATAATAAACACATCATAATAAAAAATAAATAAATATAAATTTATAAAAAAATTTACCTTTAAAAATGATGAGCTATAAATAGAGTATTTTCTATGCCCAACAAGGAAACTCTCGTCTCTTTTGTTTTGTTTTTTTATACGTATAGCTGGGATATGAAAATTCCAGTTTCTTTGTGTTTCGAACTTTGTTGTTTTTGCTCGGTTTTGCTGGTTAATGAAAGCATTGGGGCTTTGTTTGGAGGATTTTTGCATCATGAGAAATGCTAATGTTACTATTTCTGTCAATCTCTTTGTCACTTTTTACGGGCCGTTTAGTTCGTTGATTCGAGTTTTTAATTCGAGTTGAGACGTGACTTTATCTGAGAGCTTTTTACTGCAGCAAAAAAGTTAGATGTGATTGTTTCTTAGAGCTTTTTACTGTAGTAAAACTCGAATCGGTGAAATGAACGGACTGTGACTACTTAGACATTTAGACTTCTTGATCTTATTTTCTCTTAAAATAATATTATCATATTAATATAATTCACATATCAAATAATAAAAGACAAAAATGACAAAAAAAGTAATAAAAATAATAAAGCTAGCATTTTTCTTTGCATAAAGATGCGGTATATTTTTAATTTTAAAAAATGGTTCTTAATATATAAGAAGTCGCGCATATCGAAAAAAAAAAAAAAAAAAGTATATAGATTTTGTGTATACAACGAGATATCACTATGATGTAAAGGAGTGCTAAATGCGTGGCGCAAGTGCAAGATCTTGACTGTTAGTTTGTTGTGAAATTCATGCTAGTCTCAACAGAGGAGATTCAACAATATATTCCAAGTAATGCCTTGTAACAAAAATAATCTTGGTTGTGTAGGATCATTAATAATTAATCCCACTTGCCGGGGAGGTTTTTCTCCGCCGTGGGATAGAGACGCGCACCAGCCTTGCTTCTTCGGCTTACTTACCTTCACTCTCCGAATTGATGATGGATTCCCACCGAAGACTTCCAAGCACCACTCACAAATCATTCACTTAATAACCCATGATTAGGTCTTTTTTAAAAGTTTATGCTTTTTAATAACGTGGGTATGTTTTTTAAAATTAAAAAAAACAAAAAAAAAAAAATATATATATATATATATATAAATATCTTTTCCATGCGTTTAATCAAATTGAGCTATTTGGAAAAACAAGATGTGATACAATGAGTTAAACGTGAAAATGAATCAAATGGTTTTTAAAACAATAGAAGATTATCTAATTTTTTTTATAACTATGTAAAATATATATATATACATATATATATCGCTTAAAGTAAATTATATTTTCCAACTTCTTATAATCACAAAATTTGCTCTCAATGACCGACTTAATTAAAATCAATTCTCTGAAGGGATTTTGTAAAAGAAACAACATGAGTTTGAATTGAACAAAGTATTAACTCTCTCCAGTATCACCGAAATAAAAATTAAAAAGCATAATTTATTCTCAAATATTAGAAAATGAATACTAAAATTTACTCGTTTTTTTAATGTAAATAACTTGCTTTTATTCAATAGATACTTAACCAGCTAGTACAAAGTAAGTGATAAAGATTATCAAAAAGTAAAAAAAAAAAAAAAAAAAAAAAAAAAAAAAAAAAAAAAAAAAAAGTGATAAATCTAGGACAATAATGCAACTAAAAAGCATAAGGGGAATTAGAAAAAACAACCACAGCTAGCATGTGAGCTACCATCCAGTTGTGAAAACCTTGAGCTTGAGCTAAAGGAACTCCCCCCCAGAATTTACTGCTTTTTGAAGATTTTTTTTTTTTTCCTTCTCTTTAGATAACTTTTAAATGACGTTTGTTTGATGGATTCAGAATTATAATTTAAAATTAGTCTCAATTTATGTGTATATTTTATAAAAAAAATACTGTAACGAACCACGAATCATAATTTACGTGTGTTTTAATATGTGTCTTTAATATACAGAAAAGAGGCAAACTCTCTTTTCAAGCACTCTTCTCCACTTGCCAAATGTCAGCTTCTCTCTTTTTTTCTTTTTGCCTATTTTCTCTATTTATTTTTTTTCTTTTGTTATTTTTAGTCAAAAACTCCTTTACATTTTAATTACTACAGCGTGTTTTTCTTTTTAATGTGTTTCTCCTCACTTTGCTTTTAGTAAAATAATAATTTTCAAAGGTGTCTTTATTTAATTCCTTTTATCTTTTTACTAAAAGAATCTCTATGGTATAATTATTTGAGAGATATTTAGTTCATAAATTAGAATCACGTGATTAGAATTATTTTTAATTTACGTGTATTTTTAAAAAAAAAATACTGTAGTGAATCATAAACCATAATTTAAATCATGATTTGAATCCTCCAACTAAACGTCTCCTTGATCTTTACTATATTTAAAATGAACAAACACGGCTTCATAGTTTCGTTCGTCCAGATGTAAACGAAACGTTTTGTCTCACAGAGGAATATGACGAAACGTTTTGTTCCCGTTTTGTCTATATTTTTTTTTTTTTAACTCTGGCATTAAAGATAATTAGGAAGAAATGTTTCGGGTAGTTATTTTCGCTTTATTTTGCTTTTTTTTTATTCTTTTGATTTGTCTTCCCTCTTTTTTTATTTGCTTATTTGGTCCTTTATTTTTGTTTATTCTCATCTTTGTTTACATACGGAAGGTTACATGTGATACTTTCAATTATTATTTGTTGCATGAATGTCATTTCTCTAATTTACCCCATTGAAATCTTTTGTCTCACATACGTCCTTACTCAATATTTTTTATGTAGCATTCTCAACTGTTGGTTTCTCATAGTAACTCATGATTAATTTTGTATATGTTTCCTAACTTTTGTTTATTAACAGATATGCCTTTGTTGTCCATATACTCTTTCTCCCATGGCACATTTAACAAAACTGCATGTCTGTTTGAAACATGCATTTCGATCCGTTTACTTTTTTATTTATAAACATTATGTTTTCAAATAAATTTTATTAAATTTTTTCCCTAAACTTTTTTTAAAATATATTTTCTCAGACGTGCGATTGCTTAAACAATTTTTCTTGCCGTTAATATTTTTTCCCCCAACCATGGTTAACAATGGCCCTCGTAAATGTTTTAATCTAATCGCGCCCCCCTCCCCCTCCTCCTTTAAATAATTTTTTCTCAAATGTGTCCCTGCCTGATCATTTTTTTCATACAACTCTCTTAAATATTTTTTTACGCGTACCCTATAAGTAGTTTACTAACAAATTTTCTTTGTTAAAAACGCTTTCCCTTCTTAAATGTGCTCTATTGAACCCTTTTTTTTTGTTAACTAAACTCAGTAATTAGGAGAATAATAAATAGGTAAAGAGAAATGTTAGGGACACACTTTCTGTCATTCTCTTCATTTACTGTTTGATACGTGGACTCTACTGTCTCATTTTATGTTTAATTAGTGGAGTTCACATATCAAACCGTAAGTAGAGAGAATGACAGAGAGTGACAGAAAGAGTGTTGTTAGCATTTCTCATAGGTAAAACTAAATCTTAAAAAAAATGTAAATTTTAATATTAAATAATACAAAGAATGCACATGCGGGGCATGTGCTTCCAACTAGTCCTTTAAGAAGGGTGATAAGCTAATGGTATCTTTTTGCACAATTGATTTTGACTAATTAATATACATCGGGATGAATTTTCCTCCAATTTTAAAAATCACAAGAAATAATCAAAATATTTTTTGAAAGGGACAAGTGCAGAACTACCCATTGTAATAGCCACTTTTCTACCAATAACCTCCTAACAATGACTCATTCATAATTGTCCTTTCGGAGGAGTTGGTCAAAGGTCACAATATATGTATTAGAGAAATTATCCCCATCACTGAAAAAGGTAAACTACCAGATTACCAAATGTCACAGTTGGAAGCCGATCTTTGAACCCTACCGGCAATTGTATCGGCCTTCGTTGTTAGGACTGGCTACCGGAGAGGAAGTAGTTGTCAAGGAGTAATTTAGTAGATTATTTTTTAGATTTAAAAAAATTTACCAACCATCTACATTTGTCAGCTTGTTCATAATAGATGTCAGATACGA